TCTCAGATGCTGAGCAAGGGACAAACATGTAAAAGTCCTTTCCGAGGACCAAGTCTCAAACCTGCTGTGCTAGCTCTTTTCTGCACAACTCATGTTTAACTGCGCATAGGGTAAGAGTTGGGGAAAAGGACTTATTGGATTATAGAAAAAAGCTCAGTTAGCTCTTCTTGGGAGAGTTGAAAGTAGTTTTATTTAAAAAGACAATATTTGAACTGAATCTTGAAGGAATTGAAATACATCTGATAGTTTTAGGGGTCCACGAGGGGTTTTCATTTATGCAAAGTAAATGCATTCATTGTTGTCAAGAGATTATTGAGAAAGTCTCCATGGTGAGAACAGGAGGCATAGTGGGGGAAGGTCAGAGAGGAGTAGCTGGAGAAGAGTGAAAGAAATGTTTTATAGTTGGCTGGAGGGTAAGGAGCCAGTGGAGGACACAGGAGACTCAAAGACTCTCCTGAGGAGCTTTAATAACTTATGACAGTCATGTCCCACTCAAAACCCTTAATGTCTTTGGGCAAAGGAGTCTCGAAGCTTTGTCTTCTGCAGCTGCCTTAATTCTGTAATGCTATCATTCAAAAGCTCCAAGCCAACAAGGGTAGTCAGTTAATTATTAGACATAAATAAGAATATAGCTATTTTTATATAATTTCCTCTTCAGTGCTGCAATAAATTGAGATGCTAAGCCATATGGCAGTCTATCTTAGCCAAATATTTCCATGTTTTCTCTGATGACTCTAAGCCAGTAAATTTGTGTGCAGTGAAAAGTCTGTTTCTGCACAGAATTCACAGTAGTGATTTGGTTCGTTCATAAAGTGCAGAGCAATATTACATATAAAAGGGGCAGTAGTAATAGATTCCAATTTTCTAAGATGTGTGTCAATTTATGCAGTTACTTCTTGATGGTTTGGAATGTATTATGTATATGGTTTGTGTATTCAGGGGTCAAGAAATGGGATTAAATGTTTTCATTACACATCTGTTAGCTAAGTGTAAAATTACAAGGTATTTAAACAAAATCATTAGAACACAACATAAAATGAATATATCCAGTCCAGTACAGATTCCTTCCTTTTTGCTTTATTTTACTTTATAGTGTAGGATGGCAAAAAGTGACTTCAGAATTTGCAAAAAATAATATGAGGATACATTGTGTTTCTTATTCTCCTTGTTATTATGGGGGCTTTATAATGATGTTCTATTGTAAAAACAATGAAGTGTCTTCTTTAACAACAGTTTATATGCTATTAAAATCTGAATATCTCAAGAATATGTTAAGATCAGTTTATATATTACCTGTTTAAAGTGTGTATTTTAAAGCTTTTTGTCCTTATGTCCAAATGGAAGTCATTACATATACTTAATGTTTTTGTGAGCTATCTCATTAATGATGATAGCCAAATATGTTCTAGAAAATGATGTTTGAAGGTTTTCCATCAGTGGTTTAATTAACATGCAGTGGTCAGAAAGCAAACAATCTGTTCAAACAGACCTTCCTGAGATCCCTCCTATTGCTTTTGTTTACAGTACAGCTGAGAAGGGAAAAATTATATCCCACATATCCTTTTGCCTTACTTCTGGATGATTCATTTTGGTGCCAATTTAAAGAATAATTGAAAGCCCATGAAATGCAGAAAAGTAATTCAGAATATAGACAACCAACCTTTGTTTTTCTCTGATTTTCTTGTCTTTGCTTCTGTAAAATTTCCATTTTGACTTGTTTTATCTTCTCTAAAAGTTATTCAGAAATAGAATCAACATCCACTTCAGTCTTGGCGATCCATGTACTACTGAATTAGGATCTCATGGTAATGTTTCCTCTATGTGTGATCTGTAGTCTTGGTTATTCCTGATGTAACCAGAGAAAAAGAATTAGGTTAAAAATGGCAATCCAATGAATATTCACGGAGGCCAGGCCCTGCTCAAGATCCTGTTTACTCTATGCAAATTCAATTACAGGGAGCAAATAATTGGTTTAAAGTCTGAAGTGGTAGATAAGTGAATAAATGCCTTGCTGACAGTCTCTTTGGGGGGCAAAACCTTAGACAAGGCAAAATTAAGTAATGGGAAAACTGCTGTGCAAAGATTCAGGAATCTTGGGCTGAAATTCTTTTCATTAGGTTTTCTGGTTGTGGGATTCAGTGTAATTTATAAAACTCTCTATACTTTAGTTACCCCATATTTTAAATAGGAATGAAAACATCTTACCTGCCAAAGCCGGAAGCTTTTCCTAAGGATGTGTAAGACCTATGATTCTAAGCAAAGCTACATAAAGCAATTTTATTTGCCTTATTTATATGCCTTGCCTCATTATCAAAAATATATGAGGCAGCTTGCAACAAAGGTAAACAATAAAATTTTATAGCAACTAGATAAGACCTCCTAGAACGATACTTAGGTAAACTTTAGAGTTACATTTGCCTTGCATGCCAGGGTGGTACCTCTCAGAAAATTGTCTCACTGCCTAACTATGTGTATGAAAACCTAGACAGGAATCTTGTTAGGCTGTCAGTCTTGATAAGAGATGGTAACAAAAACATTGTGGTAAATGTATTAAATGTTTCCAGAATGTTTAATTGTATTAAAAACAGATACACAAAGGACTCAACTTCAATCAGAGGCATGACATGATAGTCCTCTAAAGGATAAATCAAGTGAAAACAAACCTAAAACTTCAAAGAATTACTTTTCATTAAAAACTTCAAAATGGAATATTAAAGTAAGTCTGGAATTTCCTTCCTTCCTTCCTTCCTTCCTTCTTCCCTTCTTTCCTTCCTCCCTCCCTCCCATCCTCCCTCTCTCTTCATTCCCTCCCTCCCACCTTCCCTTCGTCCCTTCATTCCTTCCTTTCTTTTTTAAGATAAGGTCTTGCCACATTACCCAGTCTGGACTGAAAGTGATCCTCCTGCCTCAGTCTCCTGAATAGCTGGGCTTACAGGTGCATGATACAGGGCTTGGCCCCTTGTGTTATTGACTCTCCAGTGACATTAATTCTACCATTTTCCTTTTGGATATGTGTAACACAGCCCACTAGCCTCACAAGGGCCTCTGAATCCAGGTACAGTGAGGAGCAGATGAACTGAGTAGCAGTTGAAGGGACTTTTGCCCTGGATTCTATTTCTCAAGCCACTCAAATTTCCCTTTTCATTTTTCCCCCTCTAAAGAATCAATGCAAAGGAGCTTGAAAACTTAGGAATGATGGTGTCCATAAATCCCATTTAATTTGAAATCTGATAAAGGTGTCATACTCTTGTTTTATAGTAAACCCTCAAACTCATTCTTCAGCTGTATTATTAGAGACAGTGAATTTAGCAGACAAGTAGACCTGTTGTATAAAACATGCATAAATGATTACCATAGCACTTACAGCTATTTTACAGCTTTGGGATTTCTTTCTTTTGCAGTGTTTAGCTGGATATTTTTTTTCTTTTGACACTTAGTTTTAAAAATTATTTTCTTTTATTTTTGATTAGCATTAATTATACATACTAATGTTTTGTGTGGTATTTCCGCACATGCACACTGTGAACAGTTTAGCGCCACTGAATGGCCATGCTGAAAAAAGAAATATTTTCAAGAGTGCTGAAGCCAATATTGATTAGACTAGCATATTGAAACCTCAGTATATGTGGAGGGAATTTGAGGGACCATGTGCAACCTTTTATGTATACAAGTTCCTTTTAGTATAAACTTGAGGATTGAGGATGTTGCATTTCTCCGGCTATTGATTATCACCTCATGGACTTTTGGCTGTTTTGGACCATAAGTTCCTTCTGAGTACTGGATGGAAATGCTATGGTTTAGTTGCTCTCTGGACTCTTCTAAAACTTCAGGCTATAGGCAATCTTGGACGTTCTCTGTCCTTTCTCTTTAGAAGAATTTTCATCAACTTTCTGAATTGAAAGAAAGATACTTTCAGCAATTGTACCTGTGATTAGTAGTGGTAGCATCTATTTATTGGAGTTCTAAGTCGCTGATTCAGTAGTATTAGATGTTACATTGCATACACTGTGATTTCTTGGAATGGTCCTGTATTGAAGGGAACATGACCACCATAATTAAATCTCTGTTCCTTTAGCCCTTTCTGAACCCATATCCTACCAGTTATAAGGCCTGTCAATTCATATCTTTTGGTAATGGCTGGGTAGAAGGCTGTTCTTCTTGCTCAGAAATGAAATTTGCAATCCTTGTGGAACACCCTCCCCTACTGACCTACTGAAATGAAAGACTAGGAGTCATTATTACATCTAATTTTCCCTCCTGTAGTGGCAGGAAGGGCTGGGTCACCAGGGCCAGTCCCTGCAGATGGCTTTAAAATACCTTTGTGATTTTGTCTCCCTGCCATCCCATCCATTTCTGTAAGTACCTGTCACTGTCATCCTTTACCACCTTGACAAGTTCCCAAGATGAGAACAGCACAAATGAACAAGAGCGCCTGTGATGCCTCCTGATGGTGCTGCTTATTAAATGAATAAGGCAATGAACCAAGTCTGCCTTGTAAACTACAGGCCAGGTTAGCACATTTTCAAGAAGGTAATTCCACACATGATTTAACTCGTTCACATACATCGTTATCTCTGCAGCCCAGCACAACTCATGCAAAATAAACTAAGATTACATATTATAATGTTGGACATTTGTTTTCAAATAAACTGCAAATCCCTGGATGTCATTCTTTCAGATTCTAGCTTTGTTTCTCAGAATAGCTGAGAATATTTGCAAAGCTTTTGTGTGCAAATAGGGAGGAGATCTGCAGGGCTGCACATCTGTTTGAGGGACGCTGTGAGATCCACCCATGAACCATTGTCACAGATCCTGGTGTATCTTACAATTGTACCATATTCAGAGATGTTCATAACAACTGAGAATATTACAAGTTAGCTGATTTCACTATGACAAATTTGTTTTCTATTCTCACAAATAGCCCTCTTACCTTTTTTCTATAGCAGACATGATGAATATGAGTCATACCTGGAGATGACATAGTCTACTTCTTTTTACAGATTGGCCTTATGAAGTTGCTGATGCCTTTCCTGGGGTAGAAGAGGAAGTGGATGTGGACTCATATGCATACAGCCATAGGTGGAAAAGGAACTTGGACCTTCTCAAGGCAGTAGACACAAACCGAGCAAGTATGGGCCAAGACTCTCCAGAGCCAAGAGGTTTCACAGACCTGCTCCTGGACGATGGGCAAGACAACAACACCCGGATTGAGGTAGGTAAAAATTGGGTAATTGAGATGGATTAACAAATATATTTCTTATAAGGCGCCTAAACCTGTACTATATATAAGTGATCTCTTCATCTCAATCTAGACCTTTTGCATTTTTTAAAAGATCAATACAATTCATTAATAAATATTACAGCCAAGACATTTCCTCATCCACTAATTCAGCTACTCATGAAACAGCCAAATGCTTCTGTAGTAATGATGCTAAAGGCACAATTTACCACATACTGTCTGGGAATTCATTGTGTTGGAGAGTATAACTACCATAACCAAACCATTGCTATACCCAAGGTCATGTACAAAATGTACACTGTCATATGGCACCCAGGAGGGTGTGATTGATCCCACTTGTGATAGGAGACTAGAGTATGAACAAAGAGACTTTCCCTAAGAATGGTTGTTTAGACGGGGGCTTAGTAGATTAAGAAAAGTTCACTTGACTTGGTTGATAAGCTGTTAATGGCAGAGAAAATTGCATCTATAATGGTGAGTTTAGTGGAACAGCATGGCATGATGAAGCATCTTGTGGAATGATTTACTGTCACCATTTTCTCAGGTCTGTGGGGGTTTCCTGAGATGTAGGACTTCCAGTGGTAAAAATGGGATAGTTCTGGACAACCTGGGATGGTTGATCACTCTATGGTATAAGTTATACTTTCTTGTTGTTAGAGACTGGAAGGAGGTAGGAGAAGGATGGTTAGAGAGTGCACTGGTGAATTTGAAGTTCACAAGAAGCATGTTTTAGGCAGATTTTAGGGTTACTCTGAGGCTTCAAAGGTAGTATACAGTTTCTTAAGAAATGGTCCTTAACATTACAAATCATAAAGTAAGATCTTGGTTGTAAAACAGATATAGTAAAAGCAAACAAGTAAACCATGTGGACATAAGCGAAGGCTACCCAAATGAGGTATTTTACTTATTTGGTTTTCTGCAGAAAGAGAGTTAGCTACCATCACTTGTCTTTGCCAGAGACTCAAAGGAAAGTAAGTGAATGAGAAAGTGCTTAGTGAATAAATGGAAAGTGTTTAATGAAAAAACTGGATGACTTCAGGTAGACTGTGATTAGAGTTGTAGGTGTGGAAACTGGATGTAGATGCATTACAAGCATTATCATGCATGAATAGTTTGAGGAACATATTTGCATTTCTGTAATTGGTCCTGAGTTGTAAGCAGGAACAGAAAAATAGGGAAGCTGCCAGCTGTGAACCAAGCCTGGGCCATTCTAGACTGATGGTGCCCAGGTTGTGGTTTGCCTTTTTGGACTGGTTGCCATAGAGATTGGGGTCTGAGTTTCATTATGATACATGGTCTTCCCCTTGTCTGTATGTTCTCTCTCAATCTGAATTTTTAGTTCCTACTTCCTCCCAGATGATAAGCTTGTAAATTTTAGGAACTAGAGAGCACTCTTTCTACTGTACCACAGTCACAGAAATACTTACTATTTAGGAAACTAACTTAATTCAAAAAGAGATACTATGTAGTCCTGCAAATAGGATTGACACTTCATTTTTTTCCCCTCACAGCAAGAGAAATATTGAGAATATCTGAAGTGCAGGTTGTAGGAATTCCATCAATATGAGAAGCTCAGCCATTACTGAATACCCTCTCCATGGTCTTAGCTGGAATGTGGTTATTGGATCCCTGCCTGTCCCAACCCAATCCTTTAACAAACAGCAGAAGATGCATGAGTATCTAATGTTATATCACATCTTAAGAGGCTATCCTGACTCCTACTGAGTTGTACCCTATTTTGTCAACCATATTGTTATAGCAACTTGGAGTAGACAACAAAATCCTCCCCTGAGCCTCTCTTTAGGACAAGCATAGCACAGAGGAAGAAAAACTAAACTAAAACAATCAAAGACTTGTACTCTCTGCCCAGAATTAGGTCCCAGCATATTGAAAGCAGACAACCCAGAGTCCTGGGACTCTATGATCTCTCCTGGGGGTTGCTGCATTTTCCAGCACTTATATAATAAAAACTCCTTTGCTGAGGAATGGATTAACACTTCTCAAACTATAATCCATTGTGGATATAGTTGTGATTTTTTTATTCTGCCATCTTTCGCTTTTGTACCCCAACAGAGCCACAGAGGGTCAGGAGTTCTGAATCGTGCAAAGAAGGAGGAAGGTTGGTGCATGGAACTAGCTGATGGATACTCACTTAATGCTAAAATCTGCTAAGTGCTAAACAGACGCTGTCTCATTGGTCCTAACAGCAGCCTCTTGAGATTTTTGTCCCCAGATTCCCTGGGTAATCTCAATGACTTTTTGCATGAGGCAATTTCGGATTCAGGTTTGGTGTTTTCCTAAGGCCTTCCACTAGTGAGTAAAGGGACTGGTATTCAAAGCTAGGCTTGCCCGGTTCCCTTGGTCTGCCCTTTCCACTTGACTTTCCTCCACCTAGTGGAAGGAAAGACAATGGTAATTGCATTAGGTAATGATTTGGACAAGCATCCAGCAAATGTCCATATGGGAGTAATATTAGGGCTTTAATCTAGCTGGAAGACTTGCCTTGAAGGTACAGGTACATAACAGAGCACTGGCTGCCTTTATTTCCAGATTTGTTTATTTCCATGGGGTTCTGGTGTTTGAAGGATAAGATTGGAAATCTAAAGTTACCTAGGGACTGCCACTACTTTTGGAAACCAACATCTACATCTGAAATTTCTCTGGAAAGTTTCACTTATCTAACCCTTGGCATAGTATTTTTGAACACTGTCATACCTCTCTTGGGAAAAACACTTTTGCCCAATTGAGTTAAAGAAGAAGAAAGGCACTAAATGATTACAGAGTGACTTCTGTCAGATGGACATTATGACAAGCTCTTTCTTACTTCTAATGAACTCAGAATTATTTTGTTAAGCAGCCCTGACTGTAGTGGTTGCTGTTGAAATCATTTGTGCCCTAGTGCGACTAAAACTGCCCAAATGGCATTCTTGCATATGTTCTTTTCATTTCTGCCATTGTCTAGACAATATCCAACTTTCATTGAAAAAAGGACAAAAAATAAGAGGATATAATGCTCTGTTTATTTTAGCATAAATTCACTCTGAAATAAACAAAGGCTATTATCTCTTAACTTGGTACTTGGTGACAGTATTTTTTCTGGCTCTACATGAGAATAGATAATGGAAGGATTGTAAAACTTAGAATCCCAGTTAAAGAATTCTTCCATTGCAATTTTGCTGTTACTGTTGTCATTTTCTTATTGTCTTAAATTCTTCCCATGCAGATGTAAGAATGTGTTGAAATCAATTGTATTTCCTCTTGAATACATAGGGACCCACCAGCTGGTGATTATCACTGTTGCTCTGAAAGCTGGATTCTGTGCAATCTTTCTTTTTATATATCCTCTCTTCACATGGACAGCCAATTAGCCTCTGCTGATTAACAGGATTTAAACATGAGGTATCAGAAAACTGCCAGTAAGTATGCTACATTTTGTAATTATTTTAGGAATCTAGAGGATTATAGGACTTTTAGGAAAGGTTGGATTTTTTTGCATGACTTGGCATTGTTTGTTCAGATCTCAGTGAACCCCAACTTCTGAAGAACACAGGAGTAATCTAGCAGGCCAGGGTACCTGTCTTCACAGGTTGCCTGGCTGCCCTTCCATTTCCCAGAATGCAGCTCTTGAAGCACAAACATCAACTCAGAGAATGGAGAGGATGTTTGGAGGGTTTACTGAGAATCACTAATGCTTCATATATTCAATTTCAACATCTATTATGCAGGTTAGTGTTGGCATCTTATAGTTCTTCACTTTACAGGAATCAATCACAAATTCCTTTGTGACACTCCAAACCAAATACATGGCTTTACCACTCAGTCACATGCAATATTTGGAACTCTGTTATTCCTTCCCTTAGGACAATGAACGTGTTTATGAAAAGGATTGTAGAATGTGATTTTTGCCTTGATTCAAAAGCCCTTGGATGACCTGAAGAAAGAAGATTTTAAAAATGCAGCTTAGGAATCACATAAGTGTAGTTTCATAATCCAAACGGACTCGGAAATTGTGAGATAAGCCAGTGCCTCTGAAATTTTAGCATGCTTACAAGTCACTTGAGAATGAGGTTAAAATTCACATTATGATTTCTTACCTTTAGCTGGACCCTCCAGGATGTTCTGCATTTCTAACATGGTCCCAGTGATGCAGCTATGGTCAGAACAGAGCCATACTTTGAGTTGCAATGCTCTGGACCACAAAGCAGATGTAGCTATTAGTTTTAAGGATATAAATGTTCTAGAAAGTCTTACATTCAATTGCCTACCCACAGAATATCTTATTTAATTTTTAAAAAGTTAAAAATTCCAGGCATATTCAGCAACTGTTGTATGACCCGTGTATGTGTAAAGTTCATTCTAAGAAAAGCACAAAGGTGAATGACCAAAAAATATATGTGATAGATTTAACTAAAAAGTGACGATCAAGAGTTTTTCTCTTCAAACCCTTTCATCTTCTGCAATAAAACACATTGCCGTTATATTGCATCTTATCTTTACAAATTGTATAATATTATTCTTTTAAAAGTTACCAATTGTTAATTGCTATAAACAGGATTGTTCTATTTTCTTTTTCAATTTGTAATTAAGTAACCTATTTGAGATGAAAGAAGTCACTGGCAAAACATTCATTTAACAGTTAATATGAAGCCAGTACCAGTGGTTCCTAAATTGGGAGGGTCTCAATTTGAGGACAGCCCAGACAAATAGCTTACAAGACCATCTCCAAAATAAACAGAGTAAAATGGACTGGAGGTGTGGCTCAAGCATGCTTTGAAAACACAAAGTCCTGAGTTTAAACCCCAGTCCCACCAAAATAAATAAGGATACTAATTGCTTTGATGATGGTGTTATCAAGAAAAGGGCAAATTTTGTCATTTTGATGTAGACAGAATCTTCATAGAGGTGGATAGCATTATCATGGGGTAATCAAAACCTCATTGTTCCGTGTGCTTTGTTTTTATTTTTCGTGGTAC